CCGGGGGGGGGTCTCCCAAAGGCAGGAGGCATGGGAAGAGAGCCGAGGGCTCAGTGCAGAAGGGTGTTATCTCCCTGGTCCCAACAGCTTCCGAGGTGAAGGGGGCGCAGACCACAGGGAATGAGATAACAGGGATACTGCAGAGGCTGGGAAAGAGGCAGAAACCTCCTGCTCTCCCTTCTCTGGCTTCCCATGACCCTACCCTACCTCCATGCAAGCATTACCCAGAGTCTTTTGCCCCCTGCAAGCCACCCAGCCTGGTGCCCGTCTGGCGGGCAGTTAGTGACACAGCACCGAACTGCAGGGTCACTGGGATGTACACCAGCTGTTCTTTGCTCCTCCTCAGCCCAGTCCTCACCCTCGCTGCACCTCTCCTCTGCCCTTCTTCCTCTGCAGCAGCCCCATCCCAGGGAGCTGCAGGTGGCTCTGCTCTCCTGGGGTTTCGTTCTTCAGTGCCATAATTCCCCAGTAAGCCTCTGGAGGCTTGGGCCTCTGTGCAGCAATTTCTGGCTAATGATTAATCTCTCCTCTAGCTCAGTTCCTCCCCATTTGTTCCCCTCATCTGCTAGAGGCAATGCTTCCCCTACTGCCCATGAGCCACGCGGGGGTGGGCGAATGGAAAGAAGCAATGGGTCAAAGTGGAAGTGTCCTGACCCACCTTTTCCTGCGTTGCCCGCTTTCAGAGGGGCGGCTGGGGGAGCCTGGTAAAGCAAAAGCAGCGAGGGGGCCGTAGCGCTTTCCAAAGGGCCTAGGCTTCAGCGGCTCAGCTGGAACACGGCATGCGGGACTGCTCCCCAGTGTTCACAAAAGAGCAATCTCTGCTGGAGCAGGGGCAGCAATGAGCCATCAGGCTGACTGGGAAATGAAGCGCCAGATCTTCCCAGAGCAGTCTGGACGAGCTTGGCTTGCTTCAGACCTCATTTTGTTAGACGAGAGCAGATAGGCATTTACTGAGAGCAAGCCTTTCAGGGGGGCTAAAGGGAGGGAGAGGAGCTGTGAGAGCCAAACACATAATGCTGCCACAAGAACCCTTGTGTATGAACCGGCTGTGACTATGTTCAGGCTGGAAATCGCAAGACAGTTTCTAATCAGAAAGGAGTGAGATTCTGGGAAAGCCTCCCAACAGGAGGAAAAGGAGAAAGAAACCTGACTGGGTTTAAGATGGGTCTGGATACATTTAGGAATGTAGTTATGTGACAGGTTTGCCTGTGAGAGCGGCAGACTGGACTCAGGGACCCAGCAAGTCCCTTCTGGCTCTATGTTGGGATAGAGAGGAAAGTGCCGGAGCCAAGTTTCTACACGCTTCTCTCTGTGCACTTTGCTTCTGTTCTCCTTTCAGTTTTGATTGATTAGTTGAAGTAATCACAGTGGCTGTGGTCATCAGGATAAGGGCATTCACCTGCTTTCAGCTCTGTGCCACGCCAGGTTAGGAGCCAGGAAGTGAGTGTTTGGGAAATTAACAGCTCTCTGAGCATGGGACCTGAAACTACCCTTTGGTCCTAGAAATACTGTGTGCTGCCCTGGTGATTTAGGGCAGTAGTTCTTAGGGAGACATCAAGTCATTGAGAGAGTTGCCTAGTTTTATAACAGGCTACGTAACAAAAATTAGCAAAATCAGTTCCAAACTAAAATGGCTTGCAAACAATGAGTTGTTTATGCTGATCTATATTTTATGCACTGATCTGGGAGTACACTATTTATAGTCCAACTGACTTATTTTAAAATTATATTATGAAAATGTGAGTCAGCAATGTTTCAGTGCTAGTGCACTGTGACATGTTTGTATTTTTATGTTTGGTTTTTGTAATCAAGGCAAAAGACAAATCTGATTCCTGAAAGGACTACAGTCATCTGGAAAGGTTGAGAACCCCATAAAGTTTGTTTACAGCCACCAGTCCTGGTTCTCAGTGTTCTGTGCTGTTATTTAGCCCTAATTGACCCTTATGTGTTTTCTAACAGCCCGCTCAACAGTGGAAGTGCTGGTAAGCTGCTAGACAATATTGATTTCCTGTGGTCCAGAAAATTCTGTCATTCGGAACCGGTTAGGTCCTGAGGGTGCTGGTCTAGAGAGGTTCAGCCTGTAGTTTGTTGTTGCTCCTGGCACTGTGTTTTGGTAGATATAAGTGTATCAGTAGGTGCATGCAGTGTGTACGGGGCCTGTAAGCCCTATTTATTTTCACAAGCTAAACAGGGCTGTCTGATAGGGTACCATTCGGCAGTGATTGGTGTGGAGGAATCAGAACCGGTCTCAGTAGGAGGCCAGAGATTACTAAGTGTCTGGAAATACCTGTAATCTGTTTTAGCTTACTACCTGCACCCTTTGTGGACATTAACTATGCTTTGCTATCCTGGTCAAAAACACATCTAGACTGCTTCCAGTTTGCCTCCCTAAATTCCCTGTGCTTTGAATGGGTTACGGGATTTCTTCTCTCCTCGTGAGGCTCTGTTAATTAGCTCTTTGTGAAGTTCTTTGGGTGCCTTGAGAAAGCAGCCACTTACATCACTGATGATCAGTCTTTGTGGGGTGGCTTCTGCACATTCATACTTGGAGATCCACCCCAAGTGCCGTGGTCTAGTGGTATCTTCTGGAAATATTGCCCATGGGGGAGCCTCTTCACCCTCTCCCTCACAGCTCTGAGGAAGCCAGGGTATCAAACCGGGTTGTGCGCTCCATGGCGGTGTCTAGACTGGCCAGTTTTTCTGCAAAATCAGCTGCTTTTGCGGAAAAACTTGCCAGCTGTCTACACTGGTCCCTTGAATTTCCGCAACACTGACGATCTCATGTAAGATTGTCAGTGTTCTTGCGGAAATACTATGCTGCTCCCGTTCGGGCAAAAGCCCTCCTGCACAAATCATTTGGCAAGAGGGCCAGTGTAGACAGCACAGTACTGTTTTGCGCAAAAAAGCCCCGATGGCTAAAATGGCGATCGGGGCTTTTTTGCGCAAAAGCGCGTCTAGACTGGCACAGACGCTCTTTTCCGAAAATGCTTTTAACGGAAAACTTTTCCATTAAAAGCATTTCCGGAAAATCATGCCAGTCTAGATGTGGCCCATGTGTGTCAGTTCCTTTCACCTGCCCCACTCAATCACAGCCCGCTATTCCGCTGACTTTATTGAAAATGTTTTTGCAACAAGTACTAGATATTTGAGGTTAGAGGATAGTAATTAAGTCACATTTTACTCAACTTCTAGGAATTTGTGAAATTCCCTGCACCTGTGACTTACATTTCCAGCAGGATACAGAACAACAGACTCCATGGTGAAGGAAGCCACGTTCCAATGCTCTGCATCTTGTTCAGAGGCCTTTTCTACCAAGGATGCACCCGTGGTGCCCAGCATGCCTTGGGGAGGCAAACGCCCATCTCATTTGTCTGCCTATCAGTCCTTTCCTCCATAGGCAAGCAGACCAGCCAGCCAGCATCAGGCCCTCCTTCGGCAGGAGGTGCTAGCACAGGGGTGGGAATGCTTTTTGGCCTGAGGCCCACATCTGTGTGTGGAAACTGTATGGCAGGCCATGAATGCTCCTGGCAAGTGCCCAGCCTCGCTCCCTGGCTGGAGCACCAGAACAGGGCAATGGAGCTCAAGGGCCGGATGAAAGACTCTGGTGGGCCAGATGCAGTCTGTGGGGCCTAGTGTGCCCACCCCATTGTGGAGGGTGAGCCAAGAAGTTCCCAGGATCAGGGGGAAGGGAGGGAGTGAATGACACTGAATTGCAGCAGCTCGTGGTGCCTCTTGCCTGGTGACCTCTGTTAAGTCTGGAGCAGGCTTGGGCCTTTGGGAAATCTGTAGGGCTGGGCTGCTCCCAGATCAGTGAAGTCATCCCCTGTGCCTAAGGTGGCTCTGCCCTGCTGCAGAGAGGCTGGAAAGGAGCATTGCGGGCACAGCTCATCGGGTGTTTGCCAGCATGGTGCTGGTCGCTGGCATTCAGCATGAGCTCCAGACATGGCGCTGGCTCGAGACTCAGGAACCCTTGCCACGGGGCTTGGGCTAGCTCCAGGCTTTCCAGGGCCCGGGCTGGCTCACTTTCCCAGTTCTCTTGGTCTGGGATCCTCAGGAGCCATTATAAACTAGACTCCGAAGCCACCCGCCATCTTTCGTCCTGCTGTCCTGCAGCCAGCGGTGGATCTGGAAGACAGGAGAGAGAACAGCACCCAGATCCCCCAGGGGCTCAGCTCTCGCCAACTCATCCTTTAACTTGTCCAGCAGGCCCCACTGACACTGGGAGAGCGACCCTGCTCCGTGGCGAGGGTGCGACAGCAGACGTGTGCTGCCAGAGCTTTTGCTTGGCAGAGAGAGCAGTTTGGCTCATCAAAGATGGCTGACAGCGCCTGCTGGAAAGTGTCCCAGCTACCCAGCACCAAGCACTGGCCTGCAGTGGGGATGAGCCCAGCCCAGCACCTCCCCAGTCACCAGGCTGACCGTCAAGCCTACCTTGGCCTGCTTGGATGAGTATTATCTGCAGGCCAAGCAAGGAAGATAGGCAGCACTGGCTCACGAAGCCTTGAAACTGGGACTTATCCCCACTGAAGCACTCCAGGAGTGGGGCAACAGGCCTCGCTCAGGTCAGGATGTGGTCAGTAGGGCCCAAGGTGCATTGCTTTCTGCACAGAGGTAATGGGCCTGCCCTGAAGTGCCTGGTTTTCACTGACCAGCTCTGCCATCTGGGTGTGCATGGCTTGCCTGTCTGTAGAGATGTGACACCTAGTCATAGAGCACAAGCACCCTGCGGGGAGCGGGGAGCTCTGCTGGGCCCCCTCCTGGCCGGACCCCACTTGGGGATAGGGTGAGCTGAGCAAACTGCTGTAGGCTGGAATGTAGGCAATTGGGACTCATGGTTTGAGGAATGGTGGTCATGCCCACTGGTGAGAGCAGGAGTCAGAAGCCAGGAACTGGAATTCATGGATCTCAAACAAGGCAGGAGTGTAGGGGCTGCTCTGACAGGCCGGAACCAGGAACAAGGCAGGACTCGGGAGTGAGGCAAGAAGGCAGGGCCCAGTGTAGCAGCCAGCCAGGGATGCACATAGCTGCTCAGACACATTTTTGTGCTTTATCTTGTGTGTTTGAGTCCGTCGGAGGCCAGACATCTCCTCCAGTTGGGAGCTTTGTGGGCAGTGCCTAGGGAGAACTAGGGTCCAGGAGGCCATATTCCCTGTGAGTGCCAAGGAGCTGCCAGATGGGAGCTGCAGGCTGAGGATTAGCTGGGGACCTGCGTTTGAGACTCGGGACCCCCTGTGCCTGCAGTGGGATCTGTGCAGACAAGGGCCTGCAGAAGAAAGTGAGACTACTTACCCTCAGGAACGGGATGCTTCTGTCCACATGGATCCCGTGAGTTGCCCTCCTTTAGCCAGCGGAGTGTTATGTAGCTGTGAAGGAGCCGAGTGCAGCAGGTGCATTCCTACACCTTTGGGAGGGGCACGTGAGGGTGTACAGGGCATGTTTACAGACTCAGTAGATGCTGCTGGCTGAAAACATTGTGAGCTCAGGAGCATCAGCCCACAGTGGGATGCGCATGGCACAGCCTCTCGGAGAACTCCCCCTGCTGTAAGATGCAGCGCCTCTTTATCTGCCAGTAAATGAATGTCCTTGAGAGCGGCCATTGCACAGTCCCACTGGCTGCCCACTTCCCCTCCTCCTCAGAGTCCTGCTGCTCACCAGGCCCTGAGATTCCCGTGGACAGACCCAAGATGTGTGGGTTCCCTATCCCCTCTGTGTTCTCAGACACTGAGAACTCCTGGGGGGGACATACAGATGCCACACCGGGGAGTGCTTGCGGAGTGGTCTCATTTTTGACCTGAGTGGTTAGCCAGCCTTCAGGATCTTGTGGACTATTTCTATTAGGAAGAGCAATTAAAGACAACCAGGTACTTCTGTGATGAAATCCCATCAATTTACCAAGAATGTAGAAAGTTCTGTTTCCCTGACCACAGTGGGAATCAAACAGTAGGTGGCAATGTCTTTGCCCCAAGTTCTAAGCCTCTTTCTAGCCAGCGCTCAACCTAAATGAAATTCATAGGCAGCGGGTTTAAAACAAACAAAAGGAAGTTTTTCTTCGCCCAGCGCACAGTCAGCCTGTGGAACTCCTTGCCAGAGGATGTTGTGAAGACCAGGACTTCAACAGGGTTAAAAAAAGAGCTTGATAAATTCATGGAGGTTAGGTCAGGGTTAGCCAAGATGCCAGGGGCTGGAAATGGATGACAGGAGAGGGATCACATGAGGATTACCTGTTGTGATCCCTCCCTCTGGGGCAGCTGGCATTGGCCACTGTTGGCAGACAAGTTACTGGGCTGGATGGACTTTTGGTCTGACCCAGTATGGCCGTTCTGATGTTCTTATGTTCACCCACAATTTGCTGCCATCTAAACCATCTCCCACTCCTGGATTTTTAGCAGCCCTTGGACTGCACAGGCATGCAGGCACTTTAGTCCTTGGTAAGTGACTTTCATTGTGTCAGCTATCACCCAACAAAGGGGATATTAAACTGTTCCCTCGTTTGGTGTGACTGGCAGATGGCTATCACACCCAACAGCTCCAGTGAGATGGTTTTTCTGCCCAGACCCTGCATGCCAGCGTATCGGTGCAGAGTCACTGTTAAATAACCTGCATGTCTGCACAGAGGAGAGGGGGGGATTTGTGTTGGTGTTTGCCTGGGGACGTTGTCAGGACTACAGTGAACTGCTAACATTTGTGTCCTGGAACAAATGCCCCTGGAGCACCTAACTGAACACTTGTGGTTGTGCCAATTAACTCACATTGGACAGGAGCGGTCTCTAATCTGCACAAACCTTGTGCTTCTCTGAAGCTCAGGTTGTTTTCAGTGAGCAGGACAGTGCAGAAATTCAGCCTGAAATAGTTTATCATTCACCCTTAGACTCTGCCCTCCCTGCTTCACCGCACCATCCTGTCCTGTCCCCTTTTACTAGCTTTCCGCTCCTTCCCTTGCTTCCCCCACCCCTCCTCTTTCTCTCCTCCACTCTGTCTTCCGGAACACTTATTTCTTAGTCTCTTTTCTTCCTCTGATGAGTGTACTAAGGGCAAAAGCCAACTCCCTGGAGCTTTTACTACTTATAAACTAGACTCATCCTTGATTTTTCACTCTGATTAGGGCCCGTGTTGTTGTTCCACGTCTGGCAAGAACCCAGCACTGCATCCACATCACCACTGCTGCTGGGAAGAGTCTGTGAAAAGGAACCAGTGGTTGATCTCTAAGCCACCAAACCAGGAGACCCACTGAACAGCTGGTGACAGAATCAGCACAGAGGGAGACACCCATCCATTTCCTGGGGGAGATGAGGGGAGTGACATGCCCTGTCATCCCCTGAGGTAATGATCTTCCTCTGTACCCTTTGGTCTGCTCCATTTGCCTGTCACTGGCCTGAACTACATCCCTGAGACCCTCTCCAGGTTGCTGCCGGGCATGTCAAATGACAACGTCTCTCTCAGCCTGGAGCAATGCAAAGATTACAGCGCCAACCACCGGCTGCACCTGGTTGGCTACAGCCTGATCTTTGTGGCAGGCTTGATGCTCAACGCTATGGCACTCTGGGTCTTCCTGCGCTACCTGCACCTCAAGTCTGTGGTGAGCATCTACATGTTCAACCTAGCCATGAGCGACCTGCTCCTTACGCTCTCGCTTCCGCTGCGGCTTTACTACTACTCCTACCAGCACTGGCCCTTTGGCAACTTCCTTTGCCAGGTGTCCGGCTCCCTCTTTCAGATCAACATGTATGGCAGCTGCCTCTTCCTCATGTGCATCAACCTAGACCGCTACATTGCCATTGTCCACCCGCTCCGCTGGCGCCACCTGCGGCGCCCCAAGCTGGCTCCTTTGCTCTGCCTGGTGGTGTGGGTGCTTATCCTGTTGGGCTCTATTCCGGCTGCTCTCGTCCACGGGTCAAGCTCCTGCAGGAAGGGGAACCAGACCGTCTCACTGTGCTTTGAGAGCTTCACCGATGTCCTGTGGCAGAAGAGAATCTTCCCACTGATTATCCTGGCTGAACTCCTGGGCTTCCTCTTGCCACTGAGCTCAGTGACGTACTGCTCCATTCGGATCTTCTGGACGCTGTGCCAGACAAGCGGGACACAGAGTCTGCGCCAGAAGAAGACCATCCGCTTGCTTGTGGTCAATCTGGTCATCTTCATCATCTGCTTTGTGCCCTACAACACCACGTTGGCAGCCTATGGGATGATAAAGGCCCATGTGATCCAAGCTGAGCCGCCTGTGCGGGACTCGGTGCGCCAGGTGCTTATTGTCACAGTCCTGTTGGCCAGCATGAACTGCTCTCTAGACCCCCTCATTTACTACTTCAACACGGAGGGCTTCCGTAACACCTTCAAGAAGCTGCGGCGGGGACAGGCATGGGACTCCGAGATGGGGACAGCCAAGATTCAGATCCTGGAGAAAAAGCCCTACAGTGCATGCTCCAGTCCAGCAGCAAAGCGGTACACAGGCCAAAACTTCATTCTCCCCAAGGAGGATTTGCCACTGGCTACCCCCAAGATATTTTTGAAAGACCCCATCCAGGACTCAGAAATATGATGATGGGAAAGTCCTGGGGTTGCTGAGTTTTAGGGTGGCTACAAGATGTCAGGAAAATTGTGGGAGAAGTGGAATGGTTCAAGAGGGTGGTAAGGAGAAGCCACTGGAGGATGGCAAACTTAATGAGGCAAAAATAAACGATGAAAAATCTTTTACAACAAAATGAGATATGGTGGTGAAATGTTTCTAAAACACTGAGTACTGTGGGGAATATGTCCCTAGCGCACCCCCCTCCCTCCTGCGCGCACACATGCTGCAGTTTTTATTTTGTTCTTTACAGAGGTTCTTATGCTGTGCTCATCACTGTAGTATCTGACTGCAAGATTTTCCAAAATGGGATTTAGATCCTCAGCCTCCTTCCCTCCCCCAATTGCTACCTAGCCCTGCTGGTGCCTCAGTACCCTAGACCAGTGTTTCTCAACCAGTGGTATGAGAACCCTCAAGGGTACTCGAGAGAAGTCGGAGGTACATCAGCACAACTGAAATTTGGAGAAAACTGAATTTTTGTTTTAAAGTTTTACGGCACTATGTACTTTTTCTGCTCAAAAATTTCATCACCCACCCGGCTACAATTAAGTTGTTTAAACAAATGTGTTGCAATGGTAGAAAAAAATTATGTGCATCTGAAAACTGTAGGTACTGGGGGCACTTACAAATTTTTTTTGAAAAAGGGGTACCTTATTTAAAAAAAAAAAAAGGTTGAGAAACACTGCCCTGGACAGCCAAGTTTCCACTGGTAAAGTCCCCAAGATGTCTATATTAACGCTGCTGGGCATGCACAAAGCTACCACAGTTGTGACGTCCAGCACCTAGCTCCCCCTCAGGGGACGCTTAAATTAGGAGGCTCCCACTAATTTGTCTTCAGTGCCCACTCTGATGTGCGTGCTCTGCTCATACCCCAACACAGAACACATCTGGATGGGGAGGAGGGTGACAGAGGGGTCCCCTCTTCAAATCTTCAGCTCAGTGGTTAGAGCACCTGCCCAGGAGGTGAGAGGCCTGGATGTTGAGCAGGGACTCAAATATGTCTCCCAACTCCCAGGTAAGTGTCCTAACCTCTGGGGTGGGTCCTTCTGAATCTACTCTGCTGAAGCTAAACACTAAAATATAAAATCTGGGAGTGGTGGCCGGGTTAGTCTGTAACTTTAAAAACAGTGAGTAGTCCTGTGGCACCTTAGAAACTAACCAAAATATATAGTATCATGAGCAAATCCACTTCATCAGATGAATTGGAGTGGCCATAACAAGAAACTAAGATGTATATAAAACAGCAGAAGTAGTACCTGCCAATTGTTGCACCTGTGTTAATGACATTAATTAAGTGGGGCTGGATGTGTCCCATACGTAGCTTTTGATGTGTTAAATGCAGCTATTAAAGGCAGGAAAAATTTCCACTCCTATTCATCTGATGAAGTGGGGTTTGATCCCAAAAGCTCATGATTCTATACACTAAAATATAAATAAGGCCACAGAGAGTGTGAGTGAGTCCATAGCCTAGTGGTTAGCACACTCACCTGGGAGTTCTGGGTTCCAATCCCTGCTTCAGTGAATATTTAACTGTGTGACACATCCTATATATTGCCTGAGAGGTGGGGAAACTGTCCTCAAGCCCCTGCTCCACATCAGGCAAAATGGGATTTGGAACTCATGTCCCCTGTATCTTGGGTGAGTGCTGTAACCACTGGGCTATTGAGGATAAAATGACCACTCTTCATTAACGAATTAACAGTTCATTAATGCACTTTGGTTTAGTCCTCTTTGTAAAAAGCAGTAGATCAAAGCTCATTAAACAAATGTTAATGTGTGCGGGCAGGGTTTCATGGATAGTTATTCTGTTGCAGTGTAACGCTGGCTAGATTCACCACCCAGACTGTGAACTGCATAGAGAAGCCTTCTGTGAAAGAACACACAGTGATTGTAGATGTGCGTAGTGCATGCATGTGCATATGAGCACACATACTCGGTAGGTGCAGTAGTTATACATTTACCCAGAACATGCTTGACCCATTTAGTGGTTGTCAATGTGCAGATGCCAGAGACAGTGAGAGCTGGTTGTGGGTATCTGTAGACCACAGTGAGCCTGATTTGCATTTTTGCTAAGTGTAAATCTTCTCTTTGAGAAGGAGGTGTAAATCCCAGCATGAGGACGGCTACTCAGGCTTGCTCTGATCGAGCTAGTAGGCTGAAAATAAAGGGTAGCCAGAGTAGCACGATGGGCTAGCTGTCCCAAGAGGTGCCTAGCATCTCAGCTGGGATTGTGGTCAAACAACTAGCCCCTTCTTCACACCACTATTTTTAGCACCTGGGCTAGCTCTGGTTGAGCTAGAGTATGTCGCCTCAAGATGGAATTTATAACCCACTCAGAGTCTAGACATACCAGTAGGCCCCTCTACAGTACTCAGCCTGCGTATCTGTAATTTTCACCCCACTTTAAGGCCCCTTTACACTGCCTGAGTGATGTAAAGTGGTCTTAATGTAACTTGGAATCAGGCCTGGAGTGTAATACATGCAAAAGTGTATTCTTTGTCTGGGTGTACATAGGACATGCGTACCAGAAGATGGACTGGGATACACCCTGAGCGTATGTAATGTTCACAGATGAAGACTCACTATACAACAGGTATTGATGTATTTTGCAACAGAGAATGCATAATGATCACAGTGCTTGGAAATCAAATATTAACACTACACTATGAAGAATGCATAAAATGTGTTTTACATTGTATGGGTGCTCATTGCATTTATCTGTGTGGGGGTTGGTTTTTGGTACCTTGCAACAGGCAAATTTCCATTGTTGGAAGAAAGTGATGTCACAGAATCCTGTTATGGTGCAATCTGTTTATTTGCACTGGGACCATGTTTGTATTTACACTATGTACAAGACCTCACACTAAGACAGACACAGCACACCTAAGCAATTTCAGAAACTTCTCCTTAATAAGTGCCAGCCACCAGGAACAGCTGCCTCTCTTGCACTAACACCAGTTTTCCCACCATCCCTTTCCCACAGCGGAAGAAGTCAGAAGAAGAGCAGCAGTAGGTTTGCCCTGGTCAAATGCGTGACATTGCTTTCTGTTGGCCTACTGCTGCTCAGGAGAATCGAGAGCAGCTAAGAGTGTAAAAGCACTGGGAATGTCCAAGGAGGAACTCAGAACAAACCCTAAATCCCTGAGCTGCTTCTAGAACAGCAAAGATAGTTTTTTACAGCTAGTACCAGACCTGAGCCACTGCCTAATGGGACACCAAGGCACAGTTGTTGTGAGGCAGGGGCATTGTGCTGAACAGTTACAGAAACTGAAGCAACCCAATCCACCTCTCCTCTAACCCCCTCTGCCTCCCTCCCAGAAGCTCTTGTTTTTATCGCAGGAGATTGTAGTTGCTGGGATGTGGATGCTGAACTTCTCCTTGGAGAAAGACCCCTGTGCTGTGCCTAGGGTTGCCAGGTGTCCGGTTTTTGCCCGGACAGTCCATTATTCATGGCCCCTGTCCGGTTTAAAAAAAAACAGAAAATACTGGACATGTAAAATGTCCAGTATTTTCTGGTTTTGTTGGATGGAAAGCTGGCGGGGGAGGGGAGCAAGGAACATGGGGATTTTTAAAGGTGCAGTATCCCCCCCCCTTTTTTTTTTTTTGCCTCAATGACTTTGGTCCTCCTTTTTTTGTTTGTTTGTTTGTTTGCTTTTTGATCAACCAATTTTTTTCCTGCCATGTTTAGGATTTTTTGTGAAAGTATCTGGCAACCGTAGCTGTGCCATGATGTCCAGAACATACAGGTGGTTCCCAAGAGTGTCCTTGGGAGCCACATAAATCTCTCTTCTCTCAGCACACACATCCACAACAACCCACCCTGCTCTGCAGCTGGAGCAGGATTGCTAGT